AAAAAAAAAAAAAAAGAAAAAGAAAATCAACTAAATACCTATTCTATTAAAACAATTAATCAACATACATTAAAATTTAAAAGTTCAAAACATACTCATATGATTCACTTAAAATCTGATTGCTGGGAATGAGAGAATTGAAAATCCAAAAAATGAACTTCACACTTCAAGCGCATCTACCTGACACTTAAAAAAAAATCACAGTTCAAGACTTATACATAATAATAATGATAATGTTTCTCAATTTTTTTTTTATTTTTTTATAAATAATTTGACTTACATATTTTGGCCAAGTAAATGTGTAATGGACAATGGTCTAGTTTTTTAATTTTTTGGGGCAGTGGATTGGGCATTTGCGCATTAAAATACAAAGCCAGAAGCAAGAAGTTCAAAAATTAATTTTTCTTTTTGGTACAAGTTCAAAATTTAATGTTAATTATTTACTATAATACTAACATAAATATAATAGTAATGTATATATACATATATACATATATACATATATGTATGTATAATATTTTTGTACGAAAAAAATAAAACGGGACAAACGGGACGGTTCGGGACAAAAATATTCAAAACTGATACTGACATTGTTTTAAACGGTTCGGTACCGGGGACGGTACGAAAATTAAAAAAACCGTTTGGAACCCTAATTTTCGAAACGGTACCATGTCGGTCCGGTTTGGTACCGGGGAATTCGATTTTTTTGCCCACCCCTAGAGAATACCGTTGAGGTGGAACTCCTCGATTATGTCTAGGTGGAAGGATCCGCCTAGACTCTCTATATGTTTCTGTATGCCCTTCAGCTCTAGTGTTTCTTACATTAGATATCTCGGAAGAAGAAACATCATTAGACGTGGGCCCAAAGTCTGAATTTTCAACGTTTGGAGATTGTTCATCCTCAGGTTCTACTTTTCAGAGCTCAAGTTCTTCAGAGACTTCGACTGTGTGATAAGAGGGAATCTGGGACTGATCTTGGTTTTGGTTCTGGTTTTGTGTTTGATGGCTTTGGTTTTGGTTTTGGGCTGGAAGAAGAAGCCAGCTTAGCAAGTCATTAGAACTCTCCCCCTGACTGCTAAGATGGTTGGAGTAGAAGTACTCGGTTTCAAGGAAACTACAGTGTATTGTGGTACTGATTTGTTTGGTTTTTGGGTTATAACACCGATATCCCTTTTGATGGATCCCATACCCGACAAAGACACACTTTTCAGCACACGGGGATAATTTATTTCGTTCGTGTTTTGGAATATGGACAAAAACAGAACACCCAAAGACCCGAGGCTGAAGAGATAGGTAGGATGGAACATCTGCTTGACTAGACAAAATATCTAGTGGACTTTTGAATTTGAGAGTTTTTGTCGGGAGTCAGTTTATGAGGTAAACAGAGGTAGCTACTGCTTCGGGCAAAAAAGAAGCTGGGACTTTAGATTCTAGCATCATAGCCTGGGTCATTTCGAGAATGATTCAGTTTTTACGTTCAGCTACCCCATTTTGTTCGGGTGTATAAGGACAAGAAGTCTGGTGGATTATTCACTTATTGAGACAGAAAGTTTTGAGATTGGTATTGACGAATTCCCCCCCATTATCCGATCTAAGAATTTGAATATTTTTGTGGAATTGTGTTTGGATCATAGTATAAAAATGGGTAAATTTTTCAAAAACTTGTAATTTAGAGTCGAGTAAATATACCCAGGTCATCCGTGTAAAGTCATCCACAAAAAGTAAAAAATAACGACATTTAAGGTCCCCAAAATCAGGAGAAGGCCCCCAAACATCAGAGTGCACAAGAGAAAACGGGGAAAGGATTCTAGTATTATTAGCAGGAAAAGAATGTCTGTGGCTTTTCGCCAAAATACACGTCTCGCAAGGGAAATTATGATGTTTAACTAAAGCTGGAAAGAGAAGTTTAAGGTAGTTAGTAGAAGGGTGACCCAATCTCTGATGCCACAGCCAAATATCTCGTTCGGAAGAACCATGGGCAAGTAGTACAGTACCTTTGGAGTCAATCTCGTCCACATAGTAAAGTCCATTCCTTTCAGTGCCACGCCCAATGATCTTCCCCGTCCGGATATCCTGTAACAAACAAAAATGCAGGTGTAGAATTAAGGTGCAGTTTAATTCTCGAGTGACATGGCTGATAGACAAAAGTTTGTGTGACAAGGAGGGAACATATAAACAATTTGACAAACGAATGGACTGAGAAATTTCAACAGTCCCACCCCCAACTACAGTAGCTAGATCCCCACTAGCAGTTTGAACCTGAGTTCTTCTATGTTTAGAGAATTTTATAAAATCACATTTGTCAAAGGTCATAGTATCTGACGCACCACAATCGATAATCCAAGCACTATTCTTTTTTTACAATTTTTCACAAGTCTTAAGATCTTTGGACATAGATGATGAGCAGTGTGGTAAGTTGACATGTAAGTTAGGGTGTGGTAATTTACCAAACCCTATACCTGAATTCATTTTGCATCGCTGCCCATTCATTTTTCCCCTCATATGAACTGCAATGTTCTGTCTGATTTCCCCCTCCGGTGATTTTTGTTGTTGCCCCTCCAAACCCGATATGGGTCTGATCTTGAGGTTCCTCTACTTGGGCTTCGTCGACGGCGACCGCACTCTTCCCCTTTGCGGTTGCAATCCGATGCCCCTCTTCCCACCATTCTGGGTAGCCAACCAACTGGAAGCAAGTCTCCCGTGTATGCTTCTTCATCCCACAATGTGAGCAGACCAATTTGGTCTTGTCAATTTTGTTGCACGATGAACTTTGCCCGAATCGATTGGCTGAGTTACCATTTGATTGCATCCGAGCCGGGTCTGACATAGGGTTTGGATGTTTCACCCCAAGTCCAACTCCTATACTTGGGTCCAGACCACCAGAGTTGGATATCGGCTGCATAATATGTAGTCGGGCAGCCTCTCGTTTGACGGTGGCGAAGGCAACTTCTGGTGAGGGGTTTGGCTTCTCTTTGAGTATATCTCGTCGAATCCCATCCAGTTGGGGGTTAAGGCCTGCGAGGAATTGATACAATCTTTTCTGGGAGATTATTTTCTGGTAAGTTAGTATCCCCTTATCACAGCACTCTAGGGGATTTGGATCCCTTTGGTCGATTTCAGTCCATATGTTGTGCAACTCGCTCCAGAATTTCTCCAAGGTTTGGCCTTCTTGGCTCATTTTAGACGCTTAAATTTCAAGGTAATAAATTTGGAGAGGGTCCGCGCCAGACCCGTATGTGATTGCAAGACTATCCCACAAAGCCTTGGAGGTCTGATGTTGTGCAAATCTTTGCACCAATTGGGTCTCCATGTTCTGTATGATCCATGAGAAAACAATAAGATCATCTTCCTCCCAAGTTTAAAATTCTTTCTCTTCCTTTTTTGATGATGGAGGGCTATTGGTGATATGTTTTGCCTTCCTTCTTCCTCCGATAGCCACCTTCATCAATCGGGACCAAAGTGGATAATTTGTCCCATCCAATTTGATTCCGAGAATTATGTTTGCTGGTGGTTGGTCTGACATATCGATTTTCTCCTTCCAGGTATTTGATGGAATTGGAATTTGCGTGTATGGTTTGATTTAGGTTTTGAGAATTATTTTATTATTTTATCTTTAAATATGATTAAAGATTAAAAAAATGAAAAGACAAAATACTTGTGGTAGATGGTGGTTATGAACCACTTCACATAATTAATTAAAAGTCAATATTTGGTGAGATTATTTAATAAAATTTGATTTTATTTAAAATAAATAATTACCAAATGTTGATTAGTTTATGCTAAAAAGTTTAGTATAAATAGGTGCAAAATGTTTGCACATATTTGCTAAGTCTTGAAATTTTTCAAGAGTTGAAAAAGAGAGAAAAAGAAGAATTGTTCTTCAAGATAAAAATTTATGAAAGAGTTCTTTAATAATAATAATAATAAAAAAATATTTCCCAATTAAAATCCTCTAATTAGTATTCCTATATCAAAACCGATACTTTTCTACTTGCGAAGAAAGAGGTTATCGGTACTTGCGAAGAAAGAGGTTATCGGTGTTGGATTTCAAAAGGTGGACTAGATTAGAGGGAAGACATTTGAATTCCTAAAGCGAGCGAGTTCAAACCGGAAATTGATTTCCACAAACAACGACGAGGAGGAGATAAATAGGTAATTTTCGAAATTATCTCATAAATCAAAATTAGTAAATGTTACTAGATTTTAAATGATGCTTATACGTTATATTGTTATACTTATGTACGGAATAAGTATTTATGAGATAAATACTTATAAAATTTTTAAAATTCCGCTGCTTATTCTTTTTCGTACAGTATATCGAACCCAACAGTTTGTGCATATTAGAAGGCCAACACATGTGGTAGTCAAGGTGGCAGTCCAGCAGCGGCAAGCTTTCTTGGCTAGTAGAAGAGGCTCGAACTGTTAGCATGCTGCTGAGGGGTATGATTTGGCCAATTGCTTTGTGTTCCTATTTTTCTAGCATTTTTTTGTTTTTTTTTTTGGTGTAGCTTAGTTCTTCTTGTTTTTCTTTCTCTTCTTTGGTTTGTGTTGTTCAATAGAATTTGGTTATCTATGCTAGAGGCAAAGGCTCGGTTGTGAGTGACTGCTTTGCTTGTAGTTTGGTTGCATGTTGCTTGTAGTTTTGTTGCAGGTGGTGTGTGTTGGTTCTAGTTGTTTTTCTAGCCCACTCTTAGCGGTGCTCCCATGTTTCCGACATTGTACTGTTAAGACCTTGTTTTCTGGTTTTATTTATGAGATGTTCTATTGTTTAGAAAAAAAAAAAAAAAAAATCTTTTTGATCCCAACCAGCTTGAATTCCAACAGAAGCACGGGTGTGGGTCAACAAAAATTTTATGGAGCCATCGGATAGTTTTCTTATGGAGCTATTTACCACTTAATATATTGACACTTGTCTAAATTGTATTTATATAAGTGTGGATGACTCCATAAGTTGAGCCATCCGATGACTGCATAACAAAGTTGTGTGTTCCTGATGGTACCATTGTTCCTTCTTCTTTTTTATTTATTTTATTTTATTTTATTTTTTGCCTCGGATATATTGTCATATTTTTTTAATGATTGGGCCTCCAGCCATCTATTACATGTTATGCAACAGTGGAGTGGGTTGGGCCGCTGAGCTTGCACTTTTTGGGTCTGTTAGTAAAATCTATATATATATGGGAAAATTTTACACTTCCTGGACGATTTGGATTTATTTGCTGTTTTACGGCTAATACAATTTTAATTGCATATTTACCTAGAATCAGTTACTAAAATTAGGACGATAGAAAATTAAAAAAGAAGGAAGCAGTTACTCCCTTATTTTGCGGATGAATTAGTTACATAGAAAATTAAAAAATAAAAAGTAAAATTATTACGTATATGAAAGGAATATATTCTCAGCTCAAAATTGAATCTTTTTGCCTTAAATTAGGACGAGCCAATTTGAATTTGAATTTTTTTTATCTTTAACAAACTTGAAGAAAATCAGAGATGGTCATTGGATGCAAGAACATAATCGAAAAAATATACTACATAGTCAGGTATATTTATTGACTGAAAAAAAAAAATTATTTCAGTGTTCACGTTTTTAATAGGGAGATAAAAACATGAATTATATAATTCACGCAACTGTCCAGGTGGATATATATTGCGTTTATATTAATATATATTTAGTATATGTTGCGATAAAAACTATGTCTTCCATATTATAATTCATGCAACTGTCCAAGTGGGTATACAGAACAAATAGTCCCTATACACACAACATATATTGAACAATTTACTGAACAACATACACACAACATATACTGAACAATTTACTGAACATATACTCCCTATACACACAAAATATACTCCCTATACACATAACATATTTTGAACAATATACAAAAAAAAATTCTAATATACAGAATATATACTACATATACACACAACATATACTGAACAATTTACAAAAACAAATTCTAATATACTGAACATATATGAACATATACTCCTTATTCATAGATCAAATGTATGAATCGTCTTAATCTTTCGGTAGCTTAGTCTTTCAGCTTGTCGAGATTGAATGGTAGAGAGCTGTAAAACAGCTGAATCAGATGTCAATAAAGTGAAAAAATATTGTGAAGACGGAACATAAAGAAAATTAACTGTGATAAGAACCCCTGGAGAGTTTTGCAAATGAGGAAATTGAGCAAAATTCCAGATCTGAATATGAATTTCATACTTACATCTTCAAACCCACTAGTACAGAGCCCGTGCGATGCACGGGGTGCACAATTTTAAGGTCATTTATCTATTTTTATAATTATATAAATGAATAAAAAAAATACACGGGATATATATAGTACGTGACCTGTAATAGGACAAAATGTGAACACGGGTGATGCACGGGGTGCACAGTATGTCATTTATTAGTACAGAGCCCGTGCGATGCACGGGGTGCACAATTTTCTAGTATGTGTAATAAAAATACATACCGTATGCACGGGACAGAAGCACTAAATGAGTCATTTCCACAGAGCTTGCCTGTTAAGTTGCTCCTGAACGCGGGTGCACAATTTGTAGTACGTACCATAAAATCAGAACAGATTTCCATACAATTAGATAATAAATTAGATAATAACTAAAGCCTTTTTATTTTAGTAAAGATTTTACGTACTTTGTTTTTTTACTTATCGGATGTTATGAGATTTTTTTTGTTAAACCGATTTTATGGAATATAATACAAATACAATTAGAGGATTGAACAAAATCAGAACAAATTTTCACACAATTAGATAATAAAAAGGAATTAGATAAGGAAAAGAAGGAATTAGATAAAGAATTTTGAATCTGACTTTTTTTTGGATAGATAGACTTTACGTACAAATTTTGACTTCACTGATTTTATGGAATTTATTTTGACAAAATCGATGTTAATATGGAATATGACAAATAAATAAAGTCTTTTTATTTTAGTAAATATTTTACGTCTTTTTTTTTTTTGACTTGTCATATGTTATGAGATTATTTTTCTTAAATTGATTTTATGGGATATAAGACAAATAAATAAAATTTTGGATAAAAATAGCAATGCATTAATTACGTTGACTTTTCAATCTAATAAATTTGGTAAATATGATACCTTATATAAAAGTATAGATACAAATAAATAACATGTCAAAATTTTAAAGAATAATTAATGTATTTTAATTTATTATCTAGCCATCAGTTTGGCTTAGTGGTGTCCCGGGGCTGGGGTTTCGACATCGTTAGGCAATCGAGTGATTTGACAGTTTCAGGGTCGGTGCTTCTGGCGACGGGATTCACGGTCGACTTGATTCCGCTGGTTCGGTTAGGTGTTGCTGCTGTGGAAGGGCTTTTTCAGTTGTGTAGTTTGTTTTGTTGTTATTTTAGTGGTATTGCTTTTGTTTTCGTTTGTTTTGAGTTGGTGTTAGGTTGTGTATTTAGGTCTGAGTATTTTTCCTAAGTGTTTTGTTCTGTTTTTTTGGTTTGAGCCGTTGGCCTCAGTGCGAGAGAGAGCAAATTTATTCTCATGTTGGGAGCAGCTCTTGTCTCTATTCTCCTATGGGGAGCTTTGTGTTGTAGTTTTTTGTGTTTTGTGGTGTTGCTGTTTGGTGAGTCTTTTTCGGTTTCTAGCGTTGCTAGTGTCAGATTTCTAGGCAGTCGCTGATTGGTCGAAAAAAGTGTGTAATTTATATATTTATTAGCGTATCTTTATATGCTTAATTTTATCACACATTTATATTTTTTGGCTTATTTATTTATTAGATGGATTTAAGTGCTATGATATATTTATGATTTATTTTCAGGATTTGAGGTATTTTCACGGACACGAGTAGATTGTACCCATTTACATGCCCAATTTTGGCCCATGTGCACCATATGCGAGATTATAGCCCATACTCTTGTTTTCTTTTACAACTATGCTGGCCAAAGTAAACTTGGTCGGGTGGTCAACCATTATCAGTCGCAAACTTGTCCTTCCATTTTACTCAGCTTGGGGTCAGTTTATTCAACCACGGGTTTGTATCTTTGCACGTTTGTGTCTTTTGTTTCTATAAAATCTTTATCGTTTTGTCAAAAAAAA